ATGTCTAATGACTGCGTGCAGCCTGGCCAGGACCACTCTCCTCATGCAGAAACGCCAGCAGCAGACCCAAGCCAAGCAGCAGCTTAGGTCAATGATCCGTGCTTGGACAGGCAGGGCAGGAGAGCTCTGGAGAGCCTGGCAGCCTCTGGTGCCCAAAGCAGCCAGGGCAGGAGCAGCTCCCCTCTGCCAATGCCACCCGGGGACACCCGGCCCCTCCTGCAGTCTCTGCCCCGGGACATCCTTGTGGCATTTTTTGGTTTTTAAGAAGCCGTAGCAAAACACCTGCTGAATCCCCAGCTGCTTCCACAGCTTGTTCTTGGAGGAACAAAGCAGCAGTGGTCACAGCAATGTCTTTTGTCACTGAAGCAAGGGAGAGTAGGAAAAAAGCAGCAGAATTATCTGCAGTACTCCTTAGAGCACTGAGCTGCGACACACCCTGAGCACACCCCGCTGCTCACACAGCTGTTCCCACAGCTCTCTGCAGGCTGGGTGTCCCCAGGCTCCTCATGGAAGGAGTGCTGTGAGCCAGGGAGCAGCCAGGCTTGCCTTTTATCCCCAGCAATCCCTCTCAGAATGCAGACCGCCTGCCAGAGGCTCGCCCACCTGCAGGCAGGTATTTCCCCACAGGAGGCAGAATTCCCCTCCAAAGCATCACCCTCGCTGAGCCTCCCAGGGCTCACAGCATCCACTCCAGCCCTCATTGTCTCCCTGACATCTAAACACGTCCTTGACCTCCCTGGCAGGGCTGCCCCTGCCATCAGCTAGCTTGTGTGGATACCAGGAAACTGAATACATGGGCTTACAGCTCAGTGGAAAGTTCTGCTGCCGTCTTAAATCATAAAGCACAGCTGCTGACACAGCAGAACTGCAGAATGAGGCATCTGAGCAGCCTGGCTTGGAAAACACCAGCAGGAGACTAAGGGCAGGGAGGGAGAAAGGACAGGGAGGCCAGGAGAGCAGATTAAAACTCACCAGAGTGCAGCTGTAACGTGTTATCCACCGTGGATGTGCCCAGCCCTCCAGAGTGCATTTACAGTTGGGAAAGGAAACAGGAGCTGAGATTCAATGTCTGAAAATGCAAAGTAATGGCTGGTTAAAAAAAAACCAACAAACCCCAGACTTCAAATATATCTGCAAACACACACATGATAATGAGCTCAGAATGAGACATTCTGAGGAGGAGAGGGATCTTGGGAGTCTGGAAAGTGCAGTGAAAGCAGCCAGCTCCTGAGTGGTGAACAAAGCCAGCCTGAGGCTGGGATGGCTTGGGCAGAGACCAGGACAGGAGCCACAGACACACCTGCACATGGAGCATGGCTGGCCTTGGTCTCCCACCTCAAAAGGGACACAGCAGAGCTTACAGGGCTCAGAGGAGGAGGAGGAGCAGCAACAGGGAACAACTCCTGCAGGAAGGCGCAGAGGTGGCTCTGGAGTTGCTTCATGGACAGCACAGCTGGCAAAAGCAGGGACACTTTGCTGTGACACAAGGAATGCCAAATGAAAGGCAAAAGTTTCAAATAATGGGTATCAGCCATCAATCAAAGGGGTTATCAGGATATGTTAGTTCCAAATTACATTAGGGGAGTTCACCTTTACATGACTTTGGTGTTGCCTCCAATGGGTTTACAGGCCCAGGCTTTCTCTCCAGACAGTGGAGAAGGCCCTGAAACACCAGGGTATAACATGTGCCCAAAGTGGACAGCCAGAGCAGGTCACCACAGCAAGGAGAAGGGCAGCCCTGGCACTTCTTCCAATGCAGGCATCTACAACACTTGAAAAACATTTGGACAGCCTCACCCATGGCCCTGTCAGGACCAAGATTCCCAGCAGCCTCCCTTTGACAAGCAGAGGTGGAATATCTTCCCAACACACCTTCTGCTAGCGCCTTTACAGGCCTTTGTGAAATCAAAACACCTGCACAAGAGTCAAAACCCTTTCCTAGGAACACAGCCTGCAATTTCCCTTTCCACCCAATGGGATTCAAATAACCTAATTCTTGCTCTACATTCATACACTCCCTCTCTCCTCCAGATCCCCCCAGAGAAACACCAGCCACGTGGTAAATACATGTAACCATGGCTCTGATAGCAGCTTTTGCTTTCTGGCCATTAATTCTTCTCCCTGGGACCTTGGTGAGCATTTGAAATCCTGCAGCAAATCCAATGAGCTGCCTTTATTTGAAAATCAACATGGCATAAAAGGTTTTCTCCTTTCCCTCCTCAAAATGAAGATAATTTTTAGCTTCAAAAATATCCTGGCCTATGGACAGATGTTGCTAGTCATGTTCTTATCTCAGGCCAATGAGGAGGTTACTGTTTTCCTTGGAAAACTTATGGAGCAGGAGGGCTCACTGCTGCATGGGAGGCAGCAGCACCCACCTCAGGCACAGCCTCTGCCTTCTTCATGGTACACACCACAAATCACCATCAGAAACCTTCCCTTTGCCCTCTCCAGGAAAAACTAGAGGATAAAACAGCAGAAAGGAAAATGCTAAAGAGCCTTTCAAACTCAACCACCCTGTAGACTGGCATTTTTAGGAAAGCAGGAGCTCCCTGGAGATGCCTTCAGTGTGCTGGAAACACCTTGTGGCAGGACACGGGCATGCAGGAGGGAAGCAGGGTGTGCTCAGGCTCTGGGCAGCCAGGCTGGGAGCAGCCACCCCATCACTGAGAGAGAGAAAAGGAGGCTTGAGAGATTTGTACAGCCTGGCAGGAAGGGCAGTGCCAGCAGCCCCCAAAGCAGCAACCACAACATGCTCAGCTGTGGAGGCTCCAGCTCAGAGCTGCCAGGGAGGGAACATCTGAGCTCCTCAGCTGGCACCACCAGACTGTCCACAGCAAGGTCAGCTCAGGTCCCAGCACGGCCTGGGAGCTGGAAATGGCTCTTGCCAACATCCCCAGATGTGAGCCATCACATGGCTGAGTTGGAGAGGAGCAAGGACAAGAGCAGACCTGGAGGAGCAGCAAGGCCAGGACACCCAGGGAAATCCCTGCAGATGGGAGGCAGGAGCAGAGTGAAGAGGGTTGGAGCAGGTTTTGGTGCAGGACCTGGGTGACACCAGGTTTAGGATTCAGCTGTGCCAATGAGTAGCTCAGGAGAGCAGACTATCCCAGCTGGGATGTGAGGGAGAAGGGCCACCAGGAACACCCCAGGTGAGCGGCCGGGGAGGAAAGGGTGCTCCAGACCAGGCAGGAGCTGTGGGGCTCAGTGACAGGTGACAGGGGGGTGCTAAAGGCCAACAGGCAGATGGTGAAACTGTGATTAGAAAGTCACTCCAGCCATAAATCTCAGGGACCTGAAATGGAGATGGGCAAGCCCCAGATGGCTTGGAAATCTGCTTGGCAGAGTCCAGCGTGGCTCAGCATGCATCTGGCCCTCCTTCCTCCTCATCCTCCTCCTTCTCACCGGGTTTACCCACCTCCAGCCAGCTCCTCACAGCCAGACCTGACCCTGAAACAAAATTTAGGGCACCCCCGAATCAAAAATTCCTCCAATGCATGAGCTAAAGAACAAATCCTGGGCCCCAACAACACTGTCATCCACCCTGGCACAGGACCCTGGCTACATTGCTGGGGTTGCAGGCACATCCCATCCCTGGTGCCCCTGTCTTGGCAAGAAAGCTGTGCCACCATCCAGGGGGCACAGAGGCTCAGCACTGTACCACGGGGTACCAGCAGAGCCGGATGGATGCAGGCTCCCTGCGGCCACAAGCTATTTCTGGACATGCTGAGGAGCTGCTTAGGGCTGGATTTGCAGGCAAGAACAGGGGCATATCAGCTGTCTGTGCTCTGGAAGGGGCTCAGGAACAGAAAAGGGGCAGGAGATTGGGAGGGGACAGGTTTTATATAGAGATCCACGGGAAAACCCGCGTCTCCAAACACAGTAACCTAACACCAGGTAGTAGTACCGGCTCCTGCCCGTGGATCCAGGACAACAAATTTCCCCACCTGCAGGCAGGAGAGCCCACTGCTCTCACACTCGTGCCCGGAAAGCACCAGCAACACTCACAAAAAGCCCCCCTGCCCATGCCAAGCTCCTGAACTCCCCTCTCGGCCCGCGGGTGCCTCCCACAACCTTTCCCCGGGCTGCCGGAGAGCCCTGCAGCCCACAGGTGCTGCCGCTCTCCCGGGACCCCCGGCCAAGGCAGGGGCTGGCAGCACGGCCGGGACAGGGGCCAGGGGTAAAATTAGAACGCGTGTCCCTGCCAGCCCCTTCTGCGAGCTGCAGGGACCAGCTGAGCCCGGCTCACCCGCACTGTAACCCTTCATGTCCCCCGCTTGGTGGGCTGGGACAGTTACTAGAAAGCCAGGGATTTGCAGGGCTTTGCTTTGTGATCAGCCGTGCCCAGCTACCCCGGCCAGCCGGGCTCGCAGGCTGATGGGGCACAGAGGTGTCGTTTTTGGATCCTTTGGGACAGTCGGGATTGAAGCCTGCAATTCCCTTCCCTACTGTCCCTTTCCACAACAGGCTGTCCTGCAGAAACCGATCCTCCCCACTTCAAAGGTTCGTGTCTCCTTTCCAGCCCCTTCTCCCCACGGCTGCCCTCCTCCTGCAGCAGTTATTGTTGTTATTTACGCTCCTAAGCATCCTCTGAGTTCTGCCGGGGGACAGGATCCAAAGAGAAAGCCTTTTAAGGATTTGTGCCAGCGCCGGGAAGCGAATCCCCCCCAGCGAACAGTGGTGCTGGGGGATTTGAGTGTAGACAAGTGCTTAAAGCCGAAAAGGGCAGAGAGAGGGGAGGGAGCCGGGGGCACGCTCTGAAACCAGACCCCCCCCTCCCGCCCGAAACGCAGCTCCTTCCTCTGCTTTAGGAAACGGATCCCTCCTGCGATTTCCTTTCAAAGGTGACTTGTAACCTCTTCATTAGGGTCGGCTTTGGCAGCGCCCGATGGTGCAGCTGGCAGGCCGGGGCCGCGCGGGGCGGGAGCGCGCTCGCCGTGCCCGGGCTGGGCAGCACTCGCGGCTGCTCCGCGGCGCAGCGGCACCGGCGCCCCGGCCATGCGCTGATGGGTACCATGGACTTTAAGACAGATGCCAGTGCAGTCACCATCAATCTGCTGCTTATTGTGCGCCCCGAGGAGGCGGCGAGCAAGGAGAAAGGGCAGCGAGAGGGGCAGACGGAAGGCGGCCGAGGCGCAGGTAACATCGCGCCTGCGGCGGGCGAGGGAGGGCAGGGCAGGGCTGCACACGGAGAGCAGAAGCAGCAGCTCTGGAGCAGGATTTGGTCTTTCTTCTGCTCTTTGCACGCATGATGCCAAACTCCAAAATGCCAACTTTTTTGCAGAAGCCCAGCGCGCCTTTTCTGGTGCAGCAGAGCCTGGAGCTGCAGCCTGTCCGGCTGCAGGGCATGCAGCCCCGGGTGGGGACACACAGGGACACCAACCCAGGGCTGCGTTTGCACCTTGCTGTGTCCTGACCCAGCCCCGAGGTCCCCCACGGGCTCTCTGTGTGCAATGGGAGCAGGGAGAGGGCTCGGCAGTTTGCAGCACTCACTGCCCTGGAGTACAGGAGCAGAAGTGTTTTGCTTGCAGCGTGCCCAGGCTTTGTCTCCGAGGCTCACTGTCCTGAGCCATTTATAGCTCCAGTTCGGGACAGTGTCCCTGGCCCAACTCCCTGTCCTGCAGAGGGTCTTCCAAAAAGCTGCAGCTGTGCTCTGCAATTGCAATGGGAGCCTCCCTGCAGAAGTGAAGGGAGGAGAACAAATATTCCTGCTCTAAAACCTGGGGGAGAAGTTGAATTTTCAGACAAGCAGTCCCAGGCTAACAGCCATAGGCAGAGCTATCACAAAGTTGTGTCCATGCTCCATCAAGCACAGCATTCAGCACCTGCTCAAATCAGAGCAAATCCCACCAAAGCAGCTTAGGCCTGGACTATTGCACTTTCTGCCCCCTGGTATTTCATACTTTAGCAACAAGAACTGCAAGCCAAGGCTGCAGATGAGACAGAAGGTGGATCCTGATGACACCTGGCACCAGCTGGGGTTGCATTTAAAGGTTTGGGGTGCTTGGCCTTCAGGCAGCACCAACACTCCAGTCCAGGAGGACCCTTTCCAATCTCCCATTTCTATCTTACAGGTTCCAAGGGTGATGGCAATGGAAACAGCAGATCACAGGCACCTCAGGGCACAGGCCTGAACGGTAGGTCACCCTTTCCCTCTGTGAGAAACCAGCCCTAGCACACAACCCAAGGCTCCAAGCTGTGCCTCTCCAGCAGAAATGTGCTTCACACAGCCCATCCCTCTCAGTGCTTTCAGGGGAGGCACACAGAGGGCCTGGCAAGCATCCCCTCCCTGCCTGCTCCCCGTGCCCCACGGACAGGATGCAGGGGAGGCACTGCCGAGCCCCCACACCTCCATCCCTCTGCAGGGATTCTCCTGCCACGGAGCTCGGTCAGATTACAAGTGCACAGAGCTCTCACATTTCACAGCCAGCTGATGGCAGGGGAAATTCAGTGCCCCCAATTGCTCAGGTTGCAGCTAGAGCTTCCAGAGACTTCCCCCGTACTCACACAGCTTAAAGGAGGGTCTGGGGGATGCAAAGAACCTTTTCAACCTTCTCTCCACCAGTCCTTTCTTCATCTCCCCCCTCAGAAACTGAGCACGAGGTAGGTGGGATTGCTGACCAGGAACTATGTGGATTCTAGTTCTCAATGTTCCACTGCCAATTCCCAGGGTTCTGCTCTAAAATAGATGAGGAGAAACACCTGAGGAGGTGATCCCAGAACTATGGAGCAGCTCCCAGGGAAGAGACTCAGATCATCCCTCTTGTTTTCCTGGCAGTCTAAGCCTGCCATGGCTTAGCAGAGACAGGCAAGGGCAAAGGTAGAGCAAGGCACAGGTAATTCTCATGGTAACAGACAGAGGATTTCAGTTACACCAAGGAGGAACTTTGCCTCCACAGGTCAAGCAAAAGCCATGGCTGCTCCCAGCAGGATGCCTGGCAGGAGCCCTGATCCAAGTCCCTCTGTAATCAGTGGTGGCTGGAGGCTGCACACAGTCTGGGAGCAAACAATATTTCATGGCAAGGCACTACTTTGGGGCTTTTTTACAAAGCAGATAACAAAAGCCTCCACTCCAGGAAGCAGATAAATATCCTGCTTTCTCTCCCTCTGTCATGCTCAAGAGGTTCTGCAATCAGAGCTGCAGAGTCAGCCTCCTCTACAAGGGAGTAAGAGGCTGGTATTGATCATTTCCCACCCTGAATTACTGGCAGGGGTATTTAGCATGCACATGGGAATCCTTCCCTTGCAGGTCTACCTTCAGCACAGTTTCAGCCCCTGGGAGGGGGAATTCAGGTTCCAGAGGAGCAGGCAGAGCTTTGGCTCCTCTGGCACCACAAGGGTTAATGAATTGCCCTTTCACCAGCCATGTCAGTGTCCCTATGAGGCCTCTGACACCTCTGCTGCTGCCACAATATTTGCAAGCTTATATAATGCCCAGCCCCACTGAGTCAAAGAGGCTGTGGCCCCTCTCCCCTTGCTCTGGGGACTGGTCCTTGTCATGGCCACATGGCACAAATGGCCTCGGACAAGCTGTGACATCCAGGCTGCCCCCGGCTCCTGGTGGGATGGGGGTCCCAGGGCACTTTGAAAAAGGGTGAGAGATCCTGGAATGAGGGCTCTGTGTCCCCTGACATTGTTCCCTCCCCGGGGCACAGCCTTTGCTGCCTCCCCCTGTGTGAGCCCTGGGCACACCAAGGGCTGCCCACACCTCCCTCTGCCCCAGCACTGCAGCTCCTACACAGCCAGGCTCTCCCAGCAGGCAGAGGTGAGGATGAGCTGCTGACAGCCACACCAAGTTCCCACTTTTCCTCCAAGCCCCCAGCACTGCCCTTGTGTCCCACCCACCTCTCCAAACTGCCCTGATCTGAGCCCCCTGCCCAGGGCAGCAGGAGCAAGCTGGGCTGGAGCATCCCTCCCTCTGCTGAGGGTCAGGAACCAGCACCAGGAGCTATTGAGCTTTGAGTCTGAAGAACAGGGCTGAGTTTCCTGAGTGTTCCTCACCTGACTGCTGAGCAGGGCAGGTTTAACCCCATCCTTGCTGGCTGCTTGGCTCTCCCTGAGGCACTGAGCTGTTCCCCTTTGTGCCCCCAGGCCGGCGTGGCCCCACAGATCCCTGTGAGCAGACACCACCCATCACTGCGGGCCCTGACAAAGGTAAGTGAGGAGACAAGAGGGAGAGCAGGGCTCCACTGAGCTCCCAACAAGCTTTTTCTGCAATAAAATAACCTCAGAATGTCCCAAAAGAGAGAAAATATCCCACCCTGGGACAGCTGCCCCTCAAAGCACTTGCTGGCCAAAAACCACAAGGAGAGCAGCAAGTGCTTCTCTGAGCTTGGAGCAAACTGCTCTAGTGGCAGGGACTTAAAACAAGAGGATCTTTAAGGTCCCTTCCAATCCAAACCATTCTATGATTCTTTATGAAGGCTATCTCAATCAGGACTAATTAAATAAAAGATCATAAAAGCACCAACAACCATTTCATACCACAAGTTTTTAAAGCAATGATACAGCACGTTGAAAAATTCCTGTGGAATTACATTTTTCATTTGTTAAATGACTTTTGAACTCATCAGCAGAAGGCATTTATAACCAGTAAGTTTGTTTCTTGAAAATAAAGATTTTTAATTTATGGGGGGAAACTTAGTAAAAGAAAGTTGGGGACAAAAATCCACAAAAAAGCAAAGTAAAAATAATTTTGAGCAATAAAAAGAACCTGAAAATATGAAAATTGTAAGGAAATCAACTATTTGCATAAAGCCTTCCCTTTGAGAAACAACTTCATTCTATCTTTGAATTAACTGACAGAATAGACCAGCTCTGTTCTGACACCCTGATATCTGCAGCCACCCTAGAATTGAGTCACACTATAAGATTTAGGTTTTTACAGCTTACACAGTTTTTCTTGCTTTCTGGTTTTGGGCCTTAAAGGACATCAAATCTGTCTGCATAATCACAGGAGAAACTTCACTTTTCTAAAGGTAAAGCCAGCAGAAAAACATATTCTTTGATGAAAATGCAGATTCCCACCTAATTAGCCAGTTCCAAGAGCTGCCTTTAAGAGAAAAGCCCAAATGTCATCAGGTGTAGGTGTAGGAGCATGGCTGGATGGCAGCCCCGAGGTGCTTTAACATCTTGACCTTCAGTCTCCTGAGTAACTTCTGCCTGATCCAAAAGAGAAGCCCAGGAGCACATGGAGCTGCTCCAGGGAACCTCAAGAGCTGCAAACCCTTCTGAAATACCTGCCAAAAAATGCAGCCTCTGTCAAAAAGTTCAGGTGGTTTTTGTAAGAGATTCCCTCACTCCTTTTCTGGTATTTGCCTCTCTGAAACTTTAAAGACCAGAGCCCAGGTTTCCAGGGGAGATTTTTCTGGAGCATCAGGGCATGCCTGGACCACAGCTGCCTCCTCCAGGATGCTGCCTCTTACAGACAATGGCCTTTGCCAGACATTTTAGTATCACAAGTCCAACCATTTTCATCACTTCAAGCCTTTCTCTGTTTAATTCCAAGAAAAATCAATGCAAGGCATTGATTCTCTGCTTGCTGTAGCTCCATCAAGAGCTCTTTATTATGGTGATAAACCTTGGCTATCACCAGAGCTAATGCTTTGTCTAAAGTTAAGATCTGCCTCGGCAGGCACTCCTGCCCTCTCCTCCATACCTGTGGCATTCCCATTCTCTGGAAAAATCCCTTCTCCCAGGATTTTTCTCCTGGGAAGCTGAGAAACCTCAGAGAAAAGGAAAACAATTCTCATCTCATTTGCTTCTCCTCTGTTTTTGCTCATGTGGAATGTGTTTGGAGATTGTTTCATTGGATTCTGGTGTGAGTTGTTTTCACTCATTGGCCAATTGGGGCCAAGCTGTGTTGGGACTCTGGAAAGGGTCACGAGTTTTCATTATTATCTTATTAGCATTGTGTAAGTATCCTTTCTGTATTCTTTAGTATAGTTAGTATAGTATTTTTTAATATAACATAGTATTATAAAATAATTAATTAGCCTTCTGAGAACATGGAGTTAGATGCATCATTCCTGCCTTTGTCAGGGTATTCCCAGCAAATACAATACATATCCTGGTTAGTTTTCCCTTTTTAGAGGATTTATCACTGTTTCTTGCAGGAACCCAAGTGACAGTAGAGATTCACCATGAGGACACCACCCCCCAGCTCATCAAGAGACTCTCCTTGGGAAAAGGTACAGCCCAGATTTGAACCCTGGCAGGAGCTCAGCCCTTCCTCCCTTCCCTGGAGCCAGGGAGCTCCAGGGGATGCTGCAGCCTGGGCAGGGCTGAGGGGATCCCACTAACCCTGCCTGGCTTGTTGCAGGTTCCCAGAGGCTGAGAGGACACGACAACAAAGGTGAGGCTCTGCTCTATCCAGCTCTGCCCTATCAAGTGTCTCCAAGCTCTCCCTCCCCTGGCAAGCTGCCCCCAGGAGCAGACAGGCTCACCCGTGCCATGGGGAGGCTGCTAAAGGGCACCTGCTGCTGGACCCTGCCCATGAGTGGGGCTTGAGGAGCAAAATCTTCTGCTCTTGGGCTGTGGGTGTCTCCTCCTCCTCTGGCCCTGGGATAAGGCAGGTGGTGACACTCCAGGGTCCCTCAGCAATGCCCCAGCTGCTGCAGAGCTCCCACTGGGGTTATCCAACAGCTCTGGAGCCCAGCACTCCCTTCTTCCACACCTGGAGAGGTTTGGCCATGGTGGGCTGGGGTTTGATGTCCCCAACCCTGGGGCTAGAACAGGAGATGCCTGCCTGCTGGGGAATGTGGGCTCTGCAGGAGCACACTCCATGGGGTGATCACATCCATGTCCAAACAGAGGGGAATGGGCTAAGAAGAGCCTCAGTTCCAGCTTTTCCCACCCAATCCTGCTCCCCACAATTTATTTCTAGCTGCCTTATTTTCTGTGGGCAACCACCTCCTCCCTCTCTCCCCTTCTCTGCTTTGCAGGTTTCCAGAAGACTGAGGCCCCACGGCCACCAGGAGCAAAGGACCTCCATGGTAACCACACATCAGCACCAGCAGGGCTCAGCTTCCCAAGCCCCTGATCTTGGGGGTGGCACAGGGAAGGGGCTTTGGGAACACCACAGATGCCCAAGCCCTGCCCAAGGGAAGGCAAACAGGCACAGGACTGTCAGATGTGGATCCCCCTCCTGCACAGAGCCTCTGCAGACAGAGCCTGGCAAAGACAAGACCTGATAACCACATTTTTTAAAAAAAGACCATCCACTAACCAAAAAGACAAGAAGTAATTTTCAGAGCTGTGGAGAGTGGGCACCTTTGTGTGTAAATCTGCTTTCTCTTTCTTTAGGTCACTGTTACACTTCTTTTCAAGGAAAATACAGATAAACAAACCAGCCTGTTAAGAAATAGGTGCCTACATGCTGATTTTGGCTGACAGGAGCCTGCCTGCACAGGGATCTGTCCATGGCTCACTGATGGGAGACAGCAGTGTCAGCTCATTCCAAGACTGTTAAAATCAGTTATCTGGTTAATTAGGGCAAGTTATTAACCCTTTGTTCACACTGAGTAGAACCAGGAGCTCAGAACCTGCCAAGATGCAGAGGGTAGGCACAGTGGGTTCAGTCCAACTGCCCCCAGTGTTACATTCCTCATGTGCCTGAATTCCTGCAGAATTGTGGCCCTTTACCACACAACACTCCTAGAGACACCCAGCCCTTTATTGCTGGGGTTTTTTTAAGAAGTCATATTTTCTAAGGCTTGCACAGTACAGATTTTCCCTGATACTTGTGCATTGTTCTCCTGCCCCTCCATGCAATATCCCAGGATTTTCCATGCTGTTAAGCAGTGCCAAAGTTGCAGGGGCAGCTCATGCTCAAATCCTAGCAGTCTAGACAGGATGGCTCCTGCTTTCCATGCAGCTGGCAGGGCCCTCCTGCGGGTGCCCTCGTGTCCTCTGCTCCCTAAGAGGCAGCTGATGGATGTGTCCATGGGCCAGGCAGGAGCTCTGTCCCCTTGTTCCACCAAACTGCCAGGAAAAACACTCCCTCCCTTCCCAAAACAATGACAACTCGTTTCTTCCCAGCATATCCATGGGACAAATCCTCTTTGAAATCCATGCCAGTAGATCTGCAGCAATTAGAGAAGCTGGATGCCTACGCATTAAAAGTAAGTCTTGCTTTTGCCTCTGTCCTCCTCCCAGCTCCCCTGCAGCAACATTCCACAAACCTGGCACCCAGCACCAGCTTAGTCTGAGCTGTGGGGCAATGGCATTAGAATCTCCCAAACAAGTGAAAAACCTTTTCCCTTTGAACGTTAGCAAAGAAATCCCACTCTGGGACCTATAACCCAAAATACATGGACCTACAGCACTGTAGCTGTATTTTTAAGGAAGCTGGAGGCAGAGCAGCCTCACTGGCTTCAGAAGAACAAGAGATGGGGAGGACAGGAGATCTACCACAGGGTGGATTTCCACCATGACCTTGCAATGCTTGCTCCCCACACACAGGTGAACGTCACAAACAGCGTGGAGGAGCTGGTCAAAGCCCTGCTGAAGCAAGCCAGGACTGACCTGGAGAAGGTTCGAGCCATATGGATGTGGATTTGCCATCACATAGGTAGGCTGAGGTCCCCAACTGAGGATAAGGCTGTCACTGTCACCCCTGTCCCACTGCCATGACATTTTACTGGGTATTTGTGGGTTATTTCCATGTGGGGAGTGGAATGAAGGTTTTCTGGAGGTTTTTATCCAGAAATGCATCCAGAGGGTCTCTCACCACCTCTGTTTCCAGTGTCTCTCCTCACACTGCCAGGCTCCACCAGGTTTGTGTGCCCATGATTAACCTGTAACTCCATTTGATGTGTGACCAGACAAGTCCCTGCCATCCAAGTGCCATCCACAAGCCAGGCTGCCCAACACCAGGGGCCTGCTTGTCACCTTCAGAGGACCCCACACCACCAGAGCTCAGTTTTGAGGGGGTGAACAGGGAGCAGGTGATGATCCAGATTTCAGAAGGAACCTGGTCTAGTGGAAGGTGTCTCTGCCCATGGCAGGCAGTTTGGAATGAGATGATCTTTAAGGTCCTTTCCCACTCAAACCGTTCTAAGTTTGGTCTCCATCCCTGTGCCAAGTCCCCACAGCCCCATACAGCCCCTCCAGCACAGTCTGATGCTGGTGCCTTTGCTCTGGGAGGGTCCCAGTGTCGCACAGGTACCACCAGGAACTATCCAGCTGCCTTGCCCAGCTCCACGTGCCACACTGGCACCTGTATGATTGCAGTTCCTGCACCTTTTCAACCCTCCAGAGAGCTGCACCCTCTCAGGCTCCCCTGCCCTTTCCTACTCACTCCAAAGCTGGAGTTACACAATAACCAGGAGAGGGGAGGAGGAGGAGGGAGCACTTGTAGCCTCTCCTATCTGGCACATCAAAAGGGGCTTCTTGCCACCCCAGTGCCTTGATGGGGGAAAACTGGATATGCAACATGATGGCATTTTGCATAACATAAGCAAATATGTTTATTTCCCATTAAGTCTTGGGGGCAGAGAGGCAGAGCTGTCCTTTCCCTCACCTCCTACACATCCTGATGGGGCACTGCTGCAGTGCAGGCCAAGTGATGGAGGGGAAAGGAGCAGTTTGGGCAGCACTGGCCTCATCTCACACCCACTGAGATCATGCAGCAGCATGGTTAGGTCAGACCCAAACTGTTTCAGTCTTGCCCTGAAATATGGAGAGTGCTGATTTCACTGCATGTCCTGCACCCATCCTTTGACTCCCCCAGCACTGGTGACTCTGTCTTTCCACTGTTAACCCATTTCTGCCCACACTACCTGGGCCAGGCCTGGTTGGAGCCAGTCCATACTCCTCAACATTCAGGGGATGTCTCTGACCCTGACAGCTATGCTGGAATCTCCTCACAAGATCTTTTACACCACCTTGGCCCTGGTTCTCATTCCTTCCTGTGAGACTGACCCCTATTTACACACACAGAAAAGAACAGACTTGGAAATTTAAATCTGCTAGCAAAAATGCAATGTATCTATCCTGAAATTGCAAATTGCACTGATGACATAAACTCCTTCCTTGGATGGATTTTAAGTGAAAACACTGCTCTCTGGGCATCTCTTCCCACTCTGTTCAGTTCCTGCCTGTGATGGGCTGCTATGCACATGCAGCATCAGCATGTGCATAGCGGCCCATGGAGAAAACTAAAGAAAACAATTATTTCAGCTGTCATTTGCAGCACAAATAGAAAGCCCAATGGAGCCAGCACCCCTCCAAGTGCCCTGGAGCTTTGCTGGTGGTCAGTGAGCAGCCAGGGTGGAGCAGCCAGGGTGGAGCTGCCAGCCTTTCCCAGTGCCTGGAGCAGCACTGAGGGGACATTGGCCGAGCCCCTGGCATGAGTGACAAGCATGGCAGCATTTAATCAAAGCACACACACAGCCTGCTGCTGCTTTTCTTCCTCTGCCCCAGCACTGAGGGCAGGGGGAACCAGCTGATGCAGCATTCCTGAGAGCTTTGTCAGAAAAATACATCTGTATTTTAAGGAAGAGGTTGTGGACAGGGCCAAGGTTGTTGGTATTGAATTAACCTCCCCAGACCAGCTCTGCAAGCTCTGTCTGAAGAAGTCCTGCTGTGCTGTTGTTGAGTACTCATTCCAGCAAATCAAGATTTCCTGAGCTTCCAGGTATTGATATGACCAGACTGGACAGGGCTTGGAACAACCTGGTCTAATGGAAGGTGTCCCTGCCCCTGCCAGGGGACTGGAATGAGACTGGTTTTAGTGCCCCTTCCAACACAAACCATTCTATAATTCTGTGACTCACTTGCAACAAACCAAATGTTTGTCAACAAGCTGCTTTTCAAGTATTTTTAATATAAATTGCTTGTAAAGAGTGCAAAATCTCAGCAGTTTCTTTTGAGGTAACACAAATCTGTCTCCTCCAAATGCAGCATGCTCTGGTTTATACTGAGAACTCTTCAGACTGTAGATCCTCCACTTGAGGACACCCATTGTGTCCAAAAATCAAAGTTTTCCTCCCACTTGGATTCAACTGCTGACCCCCAGCCCAAGCTTAGAGCAAAGGCTGATGAGGGACAGAGCTGTCCCTCTGCCCAGCAGTGTCCAGGCCACCCTCCCCAGCACAGCCACTGCCTGTTCCCCTCTGCTCACAGAGATGAAAAGCAACCTGAGCACTGCTCCTGCTGCCCATCAGCCCCTTGCCTCAGGCTGTTGGATGAACTCTTGTCTGTGTTCCTTCCCCCAGAATACGACGTCGTGGGCTACCACAACAAAAGCCAGCTGTCCAGCAAGCCCAGAGACGTGCTTCAGATGGGCAAGAGCATTTGTGAGGGCTATGCTGAGCTCTTTGAACATATGTGCAGGTAAATGAAGTTCAGAAACATTCAATGCCAGGGAGAGTTAACATTCCCTGTCATCTCCATGCCTATCCCGTCTCCCTTTGCATTGGCTGATGCGACTTTAAGCAGGACGTGGAACTTTAGCTTTCCAACCATGCTGTGGAAAAACATCAAGTCCTAGAAAGGTCAATTTTGCTCTCTCCTCCACTCCCTCCACCCCCCTCCCCAGCATAATTTACTTGGTGCCATCTGCTGAGCTTCGCATTGCATTAACATAATGGCAGATGAAAACATGGAGATAATTTGATTAGAAGAAGTAGGATTTTCCTTGGGGTATCTGGATGTGAAGGTTAAAAGCATTGCAAGACTTGAACTAGGAGTGCTGTCTCCAACATGGTCCCTTGCAAGAGGTAGGCAGAGTCCCAGGAGGAACTTTCCCTAAACTCTCTGGAATGCCCTGTCCCCTCCAGGAGCACCCCAGGGACACTGCCTTGCACTTGCCACTCTGTTCTGTGCCCAATCTCAAGGTGCAGCACTGTTGAGGCAAACACTGCAATTCCCATTTTGTACCTACCACTGGCATTTAATGACTAAAATCCTTTCTTCCCCCAACAAAATCTCCTGGACTTCAGTGGGGCTGAGTCACCTAAACTTCCCACAGAGCAGGGCTTTGCAGTCACAAAGGCATTGTAACAGGCAGCCCCTTCCTTGGCAGGGAGACATGGATGCAGCCCCAATCCCTAAGGAAAGGAGAACCCCCAAAATCCACAGCAAGGAAAGCAGTGAAGGTGCTTGGAGGTTTGGGGATCAGCCTTAGGCAGAAGAGTTGCCCAAAAGGAGAAAACTGGATCTAACAACTCAGGGAGAGGAGATTGGAAGGGACTTCCTAAAGTAATCCTTAGAGGGAGGACTTGCAAGGTGGCCCTCCCAGGAAGGGGCTGCCATTCCCTGGAAAAAATCCAGACTAGTTATTAACAGCACATGTAAGTAACAATTGGTTTTCCGCATTATCCAAAGGGATTTGAGAAGGTTTTTACCATGGAACAGGCAAAATCTACAGGGAAAAGGAGACATTAAAAAAAAAAACCCAAAAAACAGCATACTGTGCCAGATGCTGAAGTGGTGAATGCTTCCATCCAACAGCATGTCCCACAATATATATTTGGTCCATTCCAACCCAAACCATTCTGTGACATTGGATCTTGTTTTCTAAAGAGTAAAGAAATAGGATGGTGGAGTATGCATTTATAGCTACAACCTATGGAACAGTTATTAGCAGTTGGAAGGGGGGAATTTGCATCTGTTCATTAAAAAGCATATGCTTGGTTCATTAAAAGCATTAATCTTTCCAAGGATATCTCTGACTATTTAAAGGCTCTGTTGATTTACTCTCGATTCCTCAGTTCCAGGCTGATTAGTCACTATGTGATTCAGGAAACCTCCAGTCATCAGGACTATTATATTGTCAAATATTAGCAAAATGTTTAGCTCCTGTCGTGAAAAACTGTACTTAAAGACAGCACTCCTTTCTTGCACAGAGATTTCCTCATCCCTTCTCCCCATGCTCTGCTGCTCTTACACTGAGTCTAAGCAGAAAGGCAGGAGCCAAAGAGCACTCATCCTACAGAAAGCTTTTTCAGAGACAGGTTTTGGGGGGAAAAAGGGGTTTTAACCTGCCTTTTTTTTCCTAGCTCCTGTGAGGGAACTTAAACAAACAAACCAATTTGCCAGTCACCCCAAAAGTCCTACTGAAGGCAACGGCTGACATTGATTGAGTCCTACTTGTCCCAGTGCCAGAGGGAACAATTCCTGTTGCAGACACAAGACTGTCACCTCTGAGCACAGCTTTGGCAGCCACACTTCCTCCCATTAGCTGAGACTCCTGTCACAGAGGCAAGGTGGGCACGGAGAGTGGGAAGCTGGCCATAAGGCATCACTTCCCAAACATCAGGTGTGATAGCAAGGAATGCAAACACAGGCTCCTGACCAATGTTTCAGCAGCACTTATCAAGAACTGGCTTCTCAGCTGACAGGAGACTCGAGGAGTCTGGCTAAGTGAGGCACTGCAAATTCATGAATCCAATTTAGGGCAAACCTCACAGCCTGGAATTAGGGAGACACTCGCTCACCAGGGTTAGTGATGAAGGCACAACAAATATTTTCCCAGGAGAGATTTCAGCAGCTCTGGGAGCAAAGCTGGCCTACAGGGGATCTGATCAGTTAGCTAGCTGCTCCTTCTTCCCAACCAGTCTGTAAATATCCCAGATTTCACATCCTCTTGCTTCTCCCATTTCCTGCTTTAGGCAGTAGCTTTCCCTCTTTTCAGGCACAGAGGCGTACACCTACCTACCACAAGCATAAACCATTCTGTTCCCTTCTGGAGAAGCCAGATTTGCTCCTTTTTTAGATGAAATTATCAAAGTCAACCTAAAATCAAAAGGAAAAAGATGCCATTGGATTCCAGTGACACCTGTAGTAAGAGCCAGACTATTTCCTACGGTTTTTGAGGCAGAAAAGCAATTCTGTGTTTAATCTCTTTGCTGCACCAAGCAAATGTTGCCAACTGTTCCTTAATTCAGTTCTTCCAGTCCATTTTGTATCTAGGTCATCTTCAGCCTCACACTGCCACTTCAACCAGTCCTGGAGATCTTCCCAATCTTCTCTCTGCCTGCTTAATTTATCTCTATGAAGTCACTGACATGAGAGACATGAGCACCCTTTTCACCAATACAGAATTGCTCCTTTACAGGATGTTTTAGCTTGGATTTTTGTCTGCCCATTACTAGAGAGACCAGTTTAAATGTTCTGGTCTTTATTTTGAGAGCTTTGAGCACATCCAAGCACAAACTCTTCTTGCTGCTTTGCCAACCTTCACTGTAACTGAGAGCACCCTGAGAGCAGAACTTGTCCCTTAATGTTCCCTCTGAATATCCCAGCGAACAAGAATGTCTAGAGAAGCCTGGAAGGATTAGATCCAATCCCCATGAAATTAGTGGGAATTTGGTACTTAGCTCCTTGAAACTCCTAGGATCAAATCTTCAGTAAAGCTCCCAAGGCCAGCTCCTGGTCTCAATTACATCATGCAAATCCAAGCTCTCACCAGTCTTGTCAGTGGAGTTGTTCCAGATTTACTGCCCAGCTCCATGTCAGAACTTCACTCAGAGGGGCCTGCAGGTTGGCAAGGGCTTTCCAGAGCATCTGCAGCACCAGGTTTCTCCATGGCATTCCTTCCAGCCTGGCCTGTTTGTTCTGGATACTCATGGAACAGGCAGTGCCTGCCATCACTGCTTCATCCTCTCCTTTGCTGAGGTGCCCACCTCCCCTGGAAACCAGCATCCTGTCCCTGGGAAAAGCAGCCCTCCCTACAAGCCCCACTGCACTGCCAGTCACCAGCCAGTATCTGTTATCAGGCCTCGACTTCTTAACAGCCATGCTAATTATCTTCCCCATAAATATCACTTTTCTCCTGAGCTAAACCCACATTATGCAGACAATCTCACTCTGGAAGCCTGCACACTTTATTACTTAAGGTAGTTGTTCCATTTAACACACTTCTCTATGAAGAAGAAAAATGTCAATGCTGTCCTACACAAAAGACAACGCTCCAAGTGAAGCAATTTTAGATTAATGGTGCAATAAGATGCCAATGTTAGAATCCATCAGCAGAGAGCTTATTAACACAGTGCTTATTTAAATCTTATTTACACATCCACGCAGGTATTCATCATGCTTTTAGAAAGAGACTCTTTAATCATTTCTACCCTGGGCAGGCACAAGCTCATTCTGTCAGGAAACTAAATCAGCATCCACAATCCCGTGAGGTCTGAGATTCCTGAGCTGGTGTCAAACACCAGGCCCACTGTCAGGGGGAGAGAACAGCCTGTGCTTTTAATTTATAATTACATGGGCTAATTGTGGACAGCAGCAAAGGGATTCCACTGAGTAACAAGATAGAGAGCAATTAAGCACACTTTATCTTGTCATCCTCTAACAGTGCTGAATGGATGGTGCATCAGGCAAAAAGACAGGGAATATGCAAAACTGGGAGAGAAAAGGCCCTTCCTCCACAGGATGCTCTCTGCATCTCTGTGCAAAGACTACAAAAACAAACAGCCCCACCCAACACCTCAGGCATCATCGCCTTTTCTCCTTCCCCATAAGTACCTGACAGGTTTAACACAGAACTCTCCTGCTGCAGCTTATCATCTCCTTCCAGTCTTGCAGGGATTCAGTGCAAGAAGCTCTCAGGACATGCCAAGGGACATGGGTACAAGACAGGGCAGACCTTCACAGGGGACTCTGACCATGCCTGGAATGCTGTCTACCTTGAGGGAAGGTGGCATTTACTGGACAGCACCTGGGGGAGCGGCTCTGTGGATGATTCCTTCACCAAGTTCACCTACAGGTAAAGGCCCTCCTCTACCTGAGTACACAAACCCTCCACAAAGGCAGAAGGAAAGCTGATGGGATTGGCAAACCAAACAGACACATTTGCGGCCACAGGAAGACCCAAAGCTGTCACAGCAGATGTCACAGGATGTGCCACAGTTGAAAGGGCCATGATACAGAGTGTCACCACACAATTTCAGAAAGCTTTAAACATTCCCCCATACCGACTAACACCTTACCTCACCAGAAGGCTTCAGGCATCTACCCATAAGCAGTAACATCATGGCACTTCAGAAGGCTGCAAGAGTCTGCTCCTCTTGTTCTTGAGCCCAACCCTTTATCCCCTCCTGTTGATGCACTGCCCCTGTGTGCCTTCTGTTCCCTGTGGTGGTTGGTCAGTGCCCCTGGGCACTCCATGGCTCATTGCTGTCAGTGCTGCTCACAGCTGTAGCCCATTAGGGAAAATGCTTGGCCACAGCCCCACTCCCAATTACCACAAACTGTGTGCCTACACAAAGCCATGAGCAAGGTAGCCAGGCTGTCTGTACAAGGCATGGAGCATAGAGAGGTAGTTGCCCTGAGCAGCAAGTCACAAACTGCTAGAAGCCAGCTGGGTTTGCTTGTCACATCTTCAGTTTAGGCAATAGTCTGTGGCACTTGAGTCACAGCTTTTGTGAATTGATTGCACTCAACACGCAGTGACTCCCTCTTTTTCCAGGAGCCTGTGGGTGCAAAGGAATAGTGCAGATACTCAGGGTTTATCCTAAAGCTCAGCATTTGCCCTGGAAACAGAAGACCAAAGCTCAGGTTTCTTCTCTGCCTGGGGAATTTCAAACCCACAGATCTCAGTTTATCAGCAGCTCAAACCACTCTAACATCCTCCTGCTGAAACCACCACCACTGCGCGGGGGAAGAATTCCCTATTTGTAATTACTCACTTTCCCTAATTTCTCCTTTCTCCCAGGTACAATGAGTTTTACTTTCTGACTCACCCGGCCCTGTTCATTAACAATCACTTCCCAGATAACAGTAACTGGCAGCTCCTTAAGCCCACGCTGACGCTGAAGGAGTTTGAGAACAACATGCTGCACAACAGCAACTTCTACACGCTGGGGCTGCTGGCCGCGCGCCCGGACACCCCGATCATCCGAACAGGTAACGGAGAGGCCATGGAGCATCTGCCCTCATGTGCATCCGCCCTCATGTGCATCTTCCCACACCCAACACACACCACTGTGCACCTCTTCAGGCAATACCGAGCCAGTCCAGCAGCTCTTTTAACATAAAACCCCTCAGGTGCCACAACTGAACAAGGTGCACATTTAAACCTCCCTCCCTTGGATTTTTCAAGAGCTGCAGGAGTTTAACTGGATGGCTAATTTGTGAATGCTAAAAACAGAGTTAAAACTTATGGACATCAACATTTTAGGATGTAATGAAGACTTCAAGCTGTTTGGGAACAGGCTCACAGGGAGGTAGATTAATCTCATATCTACATACTGGAGAGTTCCTGCAATTTGAAGCTCCTGGGAGCAGCTACTGGGCTGGTAATCAGGTCTAATCACCTCTAATTCAGCCCTTCATGATCACAGAATTCCATAATGGTTTGAGTTGGAAGGAACCTTAAAGCCCATCTCATTCCAACCCTCCACCATGGGCAGGGACACCTTCTACTAGACCAGGTTGCCCCAAACCCCATCCAATCTGGCCTGATGGTACTTTCATTTATATTTCACACAGGCTTTCATATTCTAGCAGACCACAGCTCCATGTCAGGGTGTATCAGAACAGGATAAATGCACATCTCAAGAAACAAAGGCCACTCTCATTCTTTCTGAGGGACACTGGTCTGTGCAGACAGATGACAAGCTGTGACCTGCCAGTTGCAGCTCTTGGTTTTACTTCTAGAGAAACTTACTGGGCCAGATTAACCTTCCCAGACCAGGGGGTACATTAGGGTTAAAAACTGTACTGTCACTCCTATGCAGCCTCTTTTCTTTTGTATTCCCCAGTAAATGGAAAAGCCTCTGTGTCCGTGGACTGCCGTTCTGGCACGTTATTTATGTTTAAGTTGAAGGGAACAGATGAACACGGTTTGATGACTTTGAAAAAACACGGAATGGAGCTGGATATCTACCCACAGAAGACAGGGAGCCACAAGCTGGAGATCTTTGCCAAGCCCTCCAAGGCTGAGGCTGCGGATGACGTCTACAAGTGCGTGCTGGAGTACGTGGTGGAGTGCGAGTCCGTGGACAAGGCCATGCGCTTCCCCAAGGAGCTGCACCAGCCCGTGGGGCCCAGCTGGTTCTCCGAGCGCCAGGGCTTCCTGCGGCCGTCCCACAGCCAGCCCATCCTGCACACCAACGACGGGCGCTGCTCTCTCACCTTCACCCTGAGCAAGGACATCAGCGTGCTGACCTCGCTGCACGCCGACGGCAGCAGCAGCCTCAGCGAGGACATGGGCAGGCGGCACGTGCTGCAGATCCACCGCAGGAACCAGATCGAGCTCAAGGTCCATCTCCCGCACGCAGGCAACTTCGTGCTCAAAATCTACTCCAAGAAGAAGTCAGACCCTGGTAATTACGATTACATCTTCAACTACCTCATCAGGTGCCTGAACACGGAGGTGAAGTGGCCAGCCTTCCCCCAGAGCTACAGCAAGTGGCTGCAAGACTACGAGATCCTGGAGCCGCTCTCGGGGCTGCTGCCGGCCAACCGCAACGTGCAGTTCAAACTCAAAATGCACGGCATCGCCAAGGTGCTGGTCCAGGCTGAGAACACCTACCCCCTCACCCAGAACAAGGGCTGCTGGGAGGGAACCTGCAACACCTCGGGGTGCAGAGAGGTCTTTGTGATGGTGCACGAGAACGCCAACCACAGCTTCTACTCGCAAGTCCTCAAATACGAAGTTGAGACCCAGTAACACCCACTCCTTGTTCTTTCACTCACCTGCATGAACCGACCTCCCCAACATGCCCCAAACCAGCACAGCTTTAGGAGACTGCTCATTCTCTCAACCAAATCTGTTCTTTCAACAAATGCAGGACAACACTTGCAGGCTTTTGCCAGACTGCAGGCTCAAAGATGGTCAAGGAAGCAGAAAATCCTGTTAAAAAAAGGAGCAGCAGCGGAAGACATGAAATAAAACCATCACCTACATTTCAGTAACACTGTCCAGACAAATATTTAGAAGAAAACAACTGACTGTCTGCAGGGCATTCTGTGCCAGCAGGGATTGCTGGTTTCCAAGTTACGGACCATAAGAAAAGTCTTACGAGGGCTACTCCAAGAATTCACCTAGTTGTGGGGCAGGATGAAGAATGTGTACCCTGGTTTTGAGCAGCAACATTGGACATGAGGAACTTCAGGATATTTAAACCAACTTTCATTAGAACTGTAGTCAAGTTGCAAAATACATCCAAGGAGAGAGAAGAGTTAGGAAGAAGATACAACATGAAGTTTCCTTGGGCACTTCACTGTCTTACAGATTTCAATAATACTGGAAAAATACTTTTTACACTGACTCTTAAGTACAATAAACAAAATCATTTTTACCTTTTTATATTAGACTACTGTAGAGACTTTTTCTGCTGTAATTATATCCAAAGCATATAGGTGTTTCCATAAGGAAAATTACAGTAAAAATGAGAATAAAGTTCTCAGAAATCACTCCTTCCTCCAACCTGTCTATGCAATACTGCAGCTATAAACTGATGGGGTCACATGGGACAGCAGGCTGAGTGACATTATTATCATGTAACAAATCATTTGGTGCTGTACTCTTGGAAAACGCCTCCATGCACAAGGCAAAGAGGGGTTTCTACTGAATTCCACCACAACTACACATCCTGAGATGGAGCAACATTTTCATAACTGGTTCAGATGCCTGTGAGCGTTAGCATGACCCAAGAGGTATTATGTTTGAGCTTGTATTGAAAATAAACCTGTTATGTTTTTGCACTCTGTTTCATTGACCAAACAATATGAATTCTCTTCCTAAAGCTGCTGTATTTTCCATGCAAAAGAGGTGGGTTATTCCTACATTCCCTCCTTAGTGACTGGGTGGCAGGAATTACTCACAGGGCTGCCCACCCTACATTACTCCTTTGACCCCAGCATCTAGGGTTGAGTTTCCATTTGAGCAGGTTAAGTACCTGCAGCCAGATTCCAGGATCAGCACTCTCTGTGAGGATGCAGGCTGCTGCAGACTGGAGCTGCAAGCATAAACACCACATGTAAGCTAACAGGGCTTACTCCAGGGTAAGCTGGGAGCACAGCAAAGCTTCAGAGTCTTTTTGTACTTGGTGATAGGAGGCTCCATATGCAACATAAAAGTAGATTTTTAAGTCCTCCCCTAAACAGCTCAGTGTCTTTGCCCTCAAAAACTGGTGGCAGCAGCTCCTCCCTGCAGGAACGCTCACAAGCCGTGGAGCCCAGCAGGCTCCCACTCCCTGGGCATCAGCACAGACTGAGCAGCACAGATGCAAGGCAGATCTTTTGTTTGCCTAAGGACCTTGAAGGCTAAAGCAAGTATTGTCTGTCAGCACAGACAGTCCTGGTTTATTTTGGTGCCTGGCAGAAGGGTTCTTTTTTCTCAGATCCCACTTTTCAGATCAAGGAGGATACACTGCAGTAGCTTTCATTTCACAGGTCAAGCTGATCCAGTAAAGTACATCATTTCTTACAATGGCAGGATAAGGAAGCATCCCAGAGAGTTTAGTGACTAAAGAAAACAACTTCTTCCACCAAACAGGGCCAAGGATACCAAAGTACAGACACTGTTCGTGGAACCACACATTTGATGTTCACAAACAGGCACAAGCACACAAACAGACACTTTGGTAAAGCCTCTCTGCAGGTGACACCACTGTGAATGCGGTCCCTGCTCCTTGTCTCAAAGACTCATTCCACAAGCCTCTCTCTAAGCTTTATTTGTGTCTCCAGATGGCAGGGGGAACAAAAACTGACCCCAAGAGAGCAGAGAGGACAGTTTATTGCCCCCTACTTAGCACAACCTCGGGGAGTATTCCCTGTTCCTTCAAAACCCAGGCACCTGCAATTCCACACATCTACAGAGTCCCAGATTCTTTAACCCCTCAAATTAAAGAGTGACCCCCAAGCACTGTCACACTCACAGCAGAACATCTGTAACACTCTAAAGACAGATGAAGCCTGCACATCCCACTCTACAGATGTACAAAAGGAAGTGCTGCAAATACAGTTCCACACTTTTGTCTCAATCAGAAAACAAACACTGGCTCTGCCCTGCAAGTGTGCAAGAAATTCTTTAGTGCTATTGAAGGCCTAAGTTCAAAGACACAAACCCCCTCTCCAGCTTCATTAATTAAAAAGTTTCCAGGGCCAGGTGATTATTCCAAGGGAGGTTTGACACTGCAAAGGGAGAGAATGCCTGAGAAACCCTGCAGCCCCAGATAAAAGCACCTCAGAAGTCTGCACTTGCTGTGACATCTCCCTCCAGGATAAACACACAGCTCCTTCTCCTCCTCCTCATAAAAAATGCACATTCTTCAGTGCAGCCAAGGTTCCAACGCCAGGAGAACAGTTCTGGAACAGACTTCTCAGTTCTCTCAGGGCATCTGCAATGAGAGAAAGGGGGAAAGACAAAGCACACACACACCCCAACACAGGGAAGTAATTCAGCAGTTCCCCTGCTGCAGATGCTACTTTAGATTACATTAGTTCAAATTTTTAGATGAATGAAGCTGATGAATGAATCCTCCCTGAATGAAGTTGCTTATTACAGGTATTAGAAATTGATAAAACTGTAGGATTATAGCTGCTAATTAAGCAAATGGATCATCTTCAGTCTTGCTCTTCCCTTCTGCCAACATGAACTGCCAAATATCTCTGAAGGGATATGGAAGAGCACATCAGAAACAAGGCAAAATGTCTTCCTAACTGCTGAAAACACCAACAGCATGATGCAACACTCAGTAACTAATTTGACAAATCATCAGGAAATACAATTCTACTTGCAAGGTATAATTTAAAAATGAAATTAGTGGCCTCACTGAAGGCTGTGAGGGATCCCTAAGGGTTCTGGTATATCTTACACTCAGTGCATCTATAGGTTCATCTACAAAGAGAAAACAGTTTGGCGCATTCTGCTGTTCAGATTTTATCAAAATGCCTCACACCCAACAAGTCCTTACTTGAGATCTGGACAGACAGGGAAGATGTTCCAAAAACACCCATGGACAGCTCTGCAGAGGATCCAAGGCCAGTGCTGGATGATCACAGTCCTGCTCCAGCTGGGAGCAGTTCAGCACCTCATTACCAAGGCTGCACAACGAGAATCCAGAATGCATTTGAAGATTTTATCCTCATGCAAGGAACTCCACAAGAAAGCCATTTCTAAACTCTGGTATGCAGAGGTGCATGCCCAAGTGCAGCCTCAATCTGCAGCCAGGCACCCCCTGGCTGAACTCACCTGTCTGACACAATTGCTGGGCTCTGGGTACATGTGGCTTTTGGATTCCTGTTCCTTGACAGTGTTAAGCTGCTCTAAGACAAGGTGAAGCTGATGGAAAGGAACAGAAAACTTATGGACATGGAATGTCCTCATCCCGAGGTTTGCCTGCACAAAGACCATAAAGACTCAACCACAGGAGAACTAGAGAGACCCCAACAGAAAACAAGTTCATAGGAAAGAAGTCCTGTTCACTCACTGACAACTTACTTCCCTTGAGGAAAGACTGAATATTTTCCCCAAAGGAGGTCACAGATGTATTTTGATACAGCAGTTCCACTGGACTGTCCAGATTCAACCCAGGCTGGCACCAGCTCACATGGCAGCTGCAATGACATGTGGATGAACCTCACCTGCTTGTGGGTTCTCCTCCTATCCAGTGTCATTTCTCATTGCTATTTCTCTTTTCCAAGAGCCACATCCAGAATTCAGCCACTCATTCCTCAGCTATTCTGCAGTACTTCGAGCACCCTGTACAGCCAGATAAAGACACCAGATGCTACACAAATTGGAAAGGGCAGAAGCTACAAGAACCAGGAAATATTAAGAAATTCCACTAAGGGCAAATTAACTGGAAAAAATGCAGATAGCCTAAATGAAAGAGGAATTTTATTCCCTGTTCTTTGAAGAACATAGCTATGCTGTGATGGAAAAGGTGTTGATCCAAGTTCCTGATGAGAAGGGAATATAAAGCACAAGAGTCACTTTGTATATTTGTATAAACAAGAAAAGAGGTGTTTGCCATTCTGATTTATTTCAATGCTTTTACACGTAGAAAATATACTTTAAATATATAAAAACTAGGAAATGTTTTGCTTTTAAAATATACCATCAACTTTGTGAGTGAGCACATAGCTGTGATGCAGGTCTCTGACCTATGGCAAGCTGACTCAAATGTTTGTGGTGCAACACCCCTCATCAGAGCAAGCATGGAGACAGGAGTTCCTTTTCCTCAGCTCCCATCCTGCTGACTCAGCTCCAAGTGGGACACACAGCCTCTCACTCAAGCTCCAATCCCAGCTGGATACAGGCACCTTCCCAATCACAGTTTGGAAGCACATAAGGAAACCAGCATTCCAACTCCACAAGGAACATTATTCCTGGTGTTCAAATCGTCTCACTATCTTTGCACTCTCTTTTTTCAGTTCCTCAATGTGAGCATTTAGGCACTCCAGGATGTGCTGGGATCTCACTTCTTCATCTTCCAGGTATCGTGCAGCAATGGATCCCACAGAAGCTGTAGGCAAGGGGCACTAAAGGGAAACAAAAGGATTATCAGGCATTCCTTCATTCCAAGTTTTGGCCAGAAACACCACTGATCTGCAAAGCACACCATTCAACATGCTCCTAGAGGCTCATTTCCATCTTAGTGGGCAGACTAAGCACTCAGATCTCCCATCTGTATCACAGGTCACATCCCTCCCAACAGCCAG